GAAGAACGTATGAAAATGATCGTAAATTTTGACACCGAATTGGCTTTATTTCGTCAAATGGCTCTGGCTAGTATCAGATTTTTTTTAACTTCTAAATTTAAAGACTAACTAAATTAAATATATTAATTTTTCATAGATTGGTGATTTGTTTGCTATTACTGACGAATTGGATAGTCAATTTGTTCGTTTGGATGTCTTTAAGTCTAATGATGATACAATAGCACCTGGTTCTAAATTGTTAACTCAAGCATATGATGGCATTTATCATGAATCACGAGGAACAGGAACATCAAAGCATATTGTTGATAATGCAAAATTGGCAATTTTCGGTGCATCTACTGGAAATCGATATACATTCAACATGCGCAGCTTTGCACAAAATATAGGCAATGATGATGTTCTTGTTCGAATGTCTTACCTAGTTATATCTCATGGAATACCCAAGTCCGTTTGTAACCGATTGCCAATTTCAATGCCGAATGCGTTGCATATTGCTACTGTAATTTCATTATTAGTAAATTGTGGGTATCCTGTGCAACTACGTTTCGAAAAACTTCAATCAGATCTCGATAATGAACCAGCAGGTGACGTTTTCTCTTTAAAATATAGTTCAAAATTTTGTTTTAAGAAAACGAGATTGAGAAATTTATCAAAATAACTATTTTACAGCAAATTCTTTGATTCCAGAGTAGCAAATTACCAAAAATTAAACAAATCATACCGTCTTGATTGTTTATTTATATTTAAATTTTTCCATGCATAGAAATGTAGATGATATATAGAATAACGGACTAATATGTGAGAGATTTTGCGTATATTTTAGACGATTTGTTCAAAACAATCAGTAAATTGAATTATAGTATACGAGCAATAATTAATACTTGAATTCAGTTATTGAAACCTTCGATGATTGAGTAAGACAAATTGAAGTATTAAAACTTCGAAATATTAAATAATCGAATGATCGAACTGTAAGTATATAAGTACACAATAAAATCTATCTTTTCTTTATTGTTTGGAAAAACTCGAACTGCATAGTTGAACATCTGAACAGTTGCATTTCAATTATTCAACAATCCAATAAATAAAATTGTTTTCAGTAAATAAATCCAAATTTCTCTTATGACACCACTGGCAAAGTCTTTAAATTGGAACTCAATTCAAGTTTTGTAAAATGCAGAAACAGGGTTATAACTATTAGATTTGAAAATAGTTCTCATCATAATATTGTTAGTCATAATTGTTTCTTTTTCTCTTAAAAAATAGAAATGTTGCCTTTATATCAAAGAGAACGAAGAAGTTTCATCGATGGTGAAGCATTACCAATATCATAAGAATTGGTTCCTTCAACAAATACACGAAATAAACGACGAACCATTGATGTTGAAGAAGATGGCTCGATTCTCAGTGCTTATGCTCTTCTTGAAAAATTAATCAAGGAAGATTTGGCGAAATCTGAGGATATGAATCGTGCACCACATGTTAGAGCATTATATGCTAAAACAACTAAAAAAGTACCACGTATAGTGGCCAATACTCATTTATTTTTTATTGCTATCCATTTATTAACAAGCAATGATTATGAATTATTTAACTATGTTTCTTTTCGTGAAGGTAGTGGTACAGCTAATTCTATCAATGGGTTATCAAGTAAATTTTTGGAAACAGCCAAAAATGTTGTCTATAATTATATGAAAATGCATTTCAAAATTGAATAAATTAAAGTTGGTGACGTTGAAGTTGTACAAGGAAAATTTATAATTGATGTAACCAAAGAAGCAATTTTAGCTGGATACAATCTTTATAAATACATGCAGGACATTCAGTTTGCTGTATTTGACTTATCTGGTCTCGATGGCATAGTTAAAAAACGTCTGGCAAATAGTTCTCGAAAAGTTGAAGAAGTTCGAAAAGAATTGACGTTAAGGTTAATATTAATTTTCTTTTAATAAGAAGTCTAAGAGAGGTTTGAACTATACTAGAAAGCTTTTGTATTCGTTATCTGAAGTTTTTTGGAAAAAATGAAAATCATGGTTTATTTATTTTATTTAAAGATTGATGCTTCATTTTTAAGCTATAAATTGATGGTAAACGTTGAACATAATTCAATACATTACAACACAAAATATTGAATGTGTGAATTTGATTATGCTTATTATATTTCTGCACAAGAAATATTAAAAATAGCTTCATTAGGTTTTCTATTAAGATGTATATGATCCAGTACTATGGATACACTATTATTTCACAAGACGAAATCAGATGGTTTTTAAGAGTTGAAAATTGTATAGAACATTTTGTCTATTCAAGAATAACTAAGTTTATTTTGATGAAACTTTATTTCAATATATTTTATCGGTATTATTCTTTGTTGACAAATCTGTTAGTATAAATTATTTTTCTTATTAAAATGTTATTTAAAGGAATAGAGTATTACGTTCAACTAGGTGCATATACTTTTTTTTAGTAATTCTTATTCATAAGTCATTTTGTCTCTTTTATTTTTATATAGCATGATTCAACCACAAGAATCAGATACTGTATTGATATTCAAATTGCCTAGTTCAATATTGAAACGAGTTTGGATCACCAATAAAAAAGATGCACCATCATGGGCAGGCATCTTTTCTCAAAGCTCAAAAAAATCTCCTAACAGTAAAACAACGGAGCGAGGAACAAAAGCAATTGATACTTTACTTGAATGTGGTCTCATTAAGCAATGTAATTATTTACCAAAGAATAGTGGTTTATGGAAAGCTTCACCAGCAGAAATCTTGCTTTCAGAGTCTCTTCAAATTGATTTATATGAACATGTTGGAATTAATGTAAACCACTAGGAACAATTGTATGAAGAATGGCCTTACCCAAGCGATCTTACGATAATGACTGAGCCATTAATCGACCATTTAATTAGTGCATCAGATATATATGCCAAATATTATCATAATTATGCACCTGAAAAATTTGCAGAATTAGGTTTACGTATTACAAAGTTAGAACATGATAGAGTAATAGGAAAAATTGAATTTGTTGGTAAAGCTAAATGAAAGTTCATTAATTATCACAATCCAATCGATCATGAACAAAATGATACTATGAATAGTTATATTGTGAATAGAATTGAAACTTGTCAACTTGAAGAGATCTCATCCATCGAACATGGTTTGAAACGAAAGTTGACAAAGTTAGTGAAATGAAATGAAGTCATCATTTCACCAAGTTCGAGTTTTATGGTAACACCAGCCAAGCGTACTCATCGCGAACAGGACTCAATACCGGTAAACTTAATATATTATTAAAATAATTATAGAAACAAAAGCTTACATATAATAAATGCGAAAACCTTGGATTTAAATCCGAGTGTTATGTGTACTTCAAAAAGTGAAAAGTGATATTCACTTTGTTATTTATTTGCTCAAAAACAGAATCAATCACACTCTCAAGCTTTGAAATTGGTCTTAGCAAGGTCTTGTTTTTTCCTACAATGACATATGTTTGTATACCTTGTTCTAGTCAGTTTCATTTCGGATTTTATGAGAAGAAAAATGCATAAGAATAAAATGAAATATTTACAACTCATTGAATATATCAGTCTCATGTTATTAAAAGAAAAGAGAAGATGAAAATATGAAACTTGAATTTGATCATGCTGGGAAAAGATGTTCATGGATGCCACCTGATGAGAAGCAAAGAAGTTGAGGATTTTTTTCCATATATTTTAATCATTCATCTTATACACAGTATTTTGATTTGTTTGTAATAAAATACAAAATATCCTAATAACAAAATACAGATCCAAATTGACGTATAGAATAAAAAAAAACGATAACAATTTTTTTTTTGAGATATGATGAAAAACAATCGAATTAATCCGATTGAATATTATTGTCATCTGATTCATGATTGACACGTAATGAACGTGCATTTTCTTCAATATTTCGTGATTCATTTCCCATTTCATTTAAGTCAGATTTTGACGTTGGTAATAAAAGTGAAAACATTAATCCAATTGTAGCAAGAAGAGCACCAAAAAGAGATGGTGGACCAGGAATATCACGACTTAACATTGATGAATATAT